GGGATTTATTCCTTGATTTTTCTTTCTCTGCTTCATTATGGGTGTATAGAAATGCAACAGATACCTGTACACTGGATTTTGTATTCTGCAACTTTACTGAATTCGTGTATTAGTTCTAGCAATTTTTTGGTGGAGTCTTTTGGGCTTTCTATGTAGAGTATCACGTCATTTGCAAATAGTGAAAGTTTTGCTTCTTCTTTGCCAATTTGGATGCCTTTTATTGCTTTTTGTTGTCTGAATGCTGTGGCTAGGACTTCCAGTACTATGTTGAGTATTAGTAGCGAGAGTAGACATCCCCTGTGATCCAGTAATAACACTACTAGGTATTTACCCAAAAAATACAAAAACACTAATTCAAAGGGATACATGCACCCCTATGTTTATTGAAGCATTATTTATAATAGCCAAACTATGCAAGAAGCCCAAGGGTCTATCAACAGATGAATGGATAAAGAAGATGTGGTATATAAACATACAATGGAATATTAGTCAACCATAAAAAAGAATGAAATCTTGCCATTTGCAACAACATGGATGGAGCCAGAGAGTATAATGCTAAGCAAAATAAGCTAATCCAAAGAAAAACAAATACCATATGATTTCACACATATGTGGAAACAAAACAAAACAAATGAGCAAAGAAAAAAAAAGAGAAAGAGGCAAACCAAGAAATAGACTGTCAACTATAGAGAACAAACTGATGGTTACCAGAAGGGTGGGGAGCGCAGGGATAGGTGAAACAGGTGATAGGGATTAAGGAGTGCACTTGTTGTGATAAGGACCAAGTGTTGTATGTAAGTGTTGAATCACTAAATTGTACAACTGAAAATAATATTACACTGTATGTTAACTAACTAGAATTTAAATAAAAACAAAAAATAAAATGAAACTATATGACTATTTCAATAAACTTATTTTTTATTCAACATGTATTTATTGCATGCCTATTATGTGACAGATACTATACATTAGTAAACAAAAGAGAAAGGGTCCTGGTCTTCAATGGAAACAGAAAAAGCATTTGATAAAATTTTACACCAATTCTTAGTAAGATGTAGTTAAGAGAGAATTATTATAAGTGAATTCACTTATAAGTGTATTATATATCTTATAATGTAAGATATATTGATCAATAACAGAACAAACATCATCCTTAATGTTGAAACATAAGTTTTTTCACTGATCCCAATAAAAAGATGTTTGTACCAGAGGTTCTGGCCCATGGATTAACTTTAAAAATGAAAAACATACAACTCAGCACCAAATAAATAATCCAATTAAAAATGGGCAGAGGACCTGAATAGACATTTTTCCAAAGAAGACATTCAGATGGCCAACAGACACATGAAAAGATACTCAACATCACTAATCATCAGGGAAATGCAAATCAAAACCACAATGAGATACCACCTCACACCTGTCAGACTGGTTAAAATAAAAAACACAAGAAATAACAAGGGTTGGCAAGGATGTGGGAAAAAAGGAACTTTCTTCCACTGTTGGTGGGAATATAAACTTGTACAGCCACTGTGGAAAACAGGATGGAGTTTCCTCAAAAAAATTAAAAACAGGTGTGGCTGGATGGCTCAGCCAATTGAGCATCAGACTTTGGCTCAGGTCACAATCTCACAGTTCATTGGTTCGAGCCCCACATAGGGCTCACTGCTGTCAGCACAGAGCCCATTTCGGATCCTCTGTCCCCCCTCTCTCTCTCTGCCCCTCCTGTGCTCATGCTCCCTCTGTCTCAAAAATAAACAAACATTAAAAAAAATAGGAATACTATATGACCCAATAATTCCACTACTGGGTATCTATCCAAAGAAAATGAAAACACTAATTCAAAAAGATATATGTACTCCTATGTTTATTGCAGCATTATTTATAATAGTCAAGATATGGAAGCAACCTAAGTGTCCATCAACAGACACACACACACACACACACACACACACACACACACACACACACAAATTCTATGCAGCCATAAAAGGATGAGATCATGCCATTTGGGACAATGTGGATGGATTCAGAGAGTATTATGCTAAGTGAAATTGGCCAGACTGAGAAAAACAAATACCAGATTCACTCATATGCATAAACTAAAAAAAACAAACAAATGAAGAAACAAACAAAAAAGCAGAATCAGACTTATAAATACACAGAAGAAACTGATAGTTGCCAGAGGGGAGTGGGGTCAGGGGATGGGCAAAATGGGTGAAATGGAGAGGAATATATGAGATTCCAGTTTTGGAAGGAAAAAGTCATGGGAATAAAAGGCACAGCATAGGGAATATGTCAATGATATTGTAAAAACGTTGTATGGTGACAGATGACAGCTACACTGTAGTGAGCATAGCATAACACATAGAGAAGCTGAATCACCTCTGTGTTGTACACCTGAAACTAATGTAACATTGTGTGTCAATACACTCAAATAACTTTTTTAATTTAAAAATAATAAACATAAAAAATAAAAATGAGATACATAAAAATTAGAAACAGAAAAAAAATTATTTGCTTTCATTCAAGATGAAATCATTAAAATGTAATTTTAAAATCCAATAGTATTTATAAATAAGCCATTAGAAATAGGAAGATAGTTCGACAAAGTTAACAGATATAAGATTAGTATACAAAATATCACAACTTTCCTATGTACTAGAAATAACCAAGTAGTAAATGTAATTGAATTTTTAATTCATAATAGAAACAAATAATGGAAAAATATCTGGTACTATATCTAACAAAATTTGTGTGTGTCACCTTTATGAAAATAAGTTTTGGGATGCCTGGGTGGCTCAGTTGGTTGACCATCTGACTCTTGATTTCAGATCAGGACATGATCCCAGAGTTGTGGGATCAAGCCCTGCATAGGGCTCCACACTGGGCATGGAGCCTGTTTAGGATTCTCTCTCCCTCCCTCCCTCCCTCTCTCTCTCTCTCTCTCTCTCTCTGTCTCTCACTCCCACTTCCCTCTCTCCCACTCTATAATTTAAAATATTTCTAAAAAAAAAAAAATAATAATAAGTTTCATCAATGGTAACTGCAGAATAGCCTTTGTGAATGAAAATGTTGAACCTTTGCATAACCACCATGCCCAGCCATGGCCACACTGCAAATTCATGGACCAGAACTAGGCTCACCAGGAAGGAAGAGATTGGCATTCACATGGTAGACTATTCTACGCATGATTATTTCAAACTGCTTTGGCAGTGGAGTCCTTCTGGTGAGAACTCACCCTATATATTTTCTCAGTTTCTTTGCCTATAATTTAAACAATCAAAATACATTTACTGTGAAACATACATGTTTGAAACTATTTTATATTCTTGAAAAAGTAGTGAAGATTGGCAGAGATCAAGATTGCCCTTGATCTCTTTAAGTTTATATTTTCTGCTACTGGGCAGTACAAAGTGAAGGGTAAGTAAGTAAAGCAAGTAAGTAAAATCTAAAAGGTAATTTCAGGGTCGTCTGGGTGGCTCAGTCGGTTAATCATCTGACTTCAGCTCAGGTCATGATCTCCCGGTTCGTGAGTTCACACCCTGCATCGGGCTCTGTGCTGACCGTTCAGAGCCTGAAGCCTGCTTCAGATTCTGTTTCTCCCTCTCTCTCTGCCCCTCCCCACTCGCATTCTGTCTCTCCCTCTCTCAAAAATAAACAAACATTAAAAAAATTAAAAGGTAATTTCAGAAAGAAATAATGATTTTTGACCTTGATAACTTTAATCTCCCAAATCTCCTTCTCAGTAATCCTCCAATTGTATTTCATGATCCAAGGGGCTTTTGCTGAAAATCCATTGGTTTCTTTTTAGAGTTTGTCATAGGCACAGTGCAGCATTTGCTCTGCCATTGACTCTCTCACATTCTGCCATTTCTGTAGCATTATTAGGGCTGAGTGGCAGAGCTACTTGTCCAGCAGTGTCTCCCTCTCACAGCTGTAGAGACTACAATATACAGAGATAGATATATAGATGATATAGATATATAGATATAGATAGATATAGATATAGATATAGATATCTTTTCTTTGCAAATGACAGAATCTAACTCTGACTTACTTAAGTGAAATAAAACAAAACAACAATAACAAAGCATTAAAAGGGAAATTCATGAACTGGGTCTGGGGTAGCTCATAGCACCAAAGGGACAGTCAGTGTGTCAAGGTAGTAAAGAAAACAGGCTTTGGGATAAGTCTATTTGATTCCAAATTCCACCCCCATCACTTACCTCTCTGAGTCCACGTTCTCTTTTCTGAACAAGGACAACTAAAGTATTTACCCAAAGCATTTGTTGGGGTATTTAAGTGAGATAATATACGTAAAATACTTAGCACAGTACCTGACATGATGCAAATATCTAATCACGTGCTTTTAATATAATTTCATTTATCAATCTTCCTTGAAAGTACAGAATCTAGGATAACAATAGTGATCTTAGCAGCAGAGGCGCTGGGATAGGCTATCAGAGTGCTGCAAAGAGAAAGGCTGACCTCTGCCTCTCTGAATCTATCCTCAAGATTAAAATTTCTAAGGGAATGGATGGTGTGGCACTGACCATGTGCTCATTCCTATACCAGCCACTGTCTCAGGAAGAATGAGTGAATAACGAGTGGGGGAGGAAAGAGAATTTGGGGACACCATAATTAACAGTCTCTCTAGAACTATACTGAACAACATGGAGTTTAGTTACTGGAAGGATAGTAAAGATAGTGTAAGCAGGCAATAACAAAGTCTACCTTACTGTCTATAATAAATTAAATATTTTGTAAGAAAAATTGTAAGACAAGAGGTTTATCCATTCATTTTCCTCCGACTAGGACAGAACAACTATCATTCCAAGAAAATAATCCCACCTTTTCTTCAGCATTTTAAAGAAACAATGTAAGGTTTCTTGCAAACCATGATTATCAGAAAATTCTCCTTAATATTCATGCACTATTTATTGTGGTTCTATTCATTTCTTCCCTCATCGTTCTGATTTTGTAGTCTATCAACTAGAACGCTAGACACGTTTTCTCAAAATTCTTCTCACAGCTGCCTTCACCTCTTTGTTCTTTAGGCTATAGATGAGAGGATTCAGCATAGGAGTGACCACACTGTACTGCAAGGAGAAGATTAACTCTTGAGTGGATCCTGAATTTGGCATGAGATAGCGGAGTAATCCTGAGCCATAAAAGAAGATCACTGCAGTGAGGTGGGAGGAGCAGGTGGAGAAGGCCTTGTTTCTGCCTGTGGTAGCATTGATACTCAGGATGGTGAACAAAATGCAAACATAGGAGAAAAATATCAAGAGGAAATTTCCAAAGAAATGCAGGAGGCTGGAGGAGAGCAGGGCAGTAAAACTTGCAGACACATCAGAGCAGGACAAAGGGTAGAGAGAAGGCAGTTCACAGCTGAAGTGGTATATATTTTGAGCTCCACAGAAGTCTAAATTGAGAGCTACAAGGATATTGATAAGAGCATCCAAAAAAGCCACGCTCCATGAGCCCCACACCAGCCCCATACACAATTGTCTGTTCATCATCTGGCCATAGAGCAGAGGGGAGCTGATGGCAACATAGCGGTCATAGGCCATGACAGTGAGTAGGCAGGATTCAGTGCCCCCGGTGGCAAACACAAAGAAGGCCTGAGCCAGGCAGCCCTCTACTGAGATGGTTTTCTTCTCAGACAGGAGGTTCTCCAACAGCTTGGGCACAGTGACAGAGGAGTGGCAGAGATCCAGGAAGGACAACTGTCCCAGGAAGAAGTACATGGGGGTGTGGAGGTAAGAATCAGCCCTAATCACCAGCAGCAGCATCAGGTTCCCCATCAGGGTCAGGAGGTAAATAACAAGGAACAGTACAAAGAGCAGAGCCTCAATCTTGGGGTCAGCAGACAGCCCAAAGAGGATGAACTCAGAAACAACACTGTGGTTTCTCATTGCCTTCAATATTTCCTTTAGAATGTAAGAAATAAGTCACATAAAGTCTCTTCTTCTAACAAATATTCAAGTGTTTTAATGCTCTTCTCCACTCAGAAAGTTTCATACCTACTCAAAAATTTATGCTCTGAAATGATAAACTTCCTTAAGTCTCTAGATTTCCTAAAATCTGAAATAATCTTTTCTACAGGATTCCAACCCTAGATCAACTCCCTGTCCACTTTTATTGTTCTTCCTTTTAATGTCTTAGAATTTATTTTTTGTTGTTGTTTTATTATTAAAGCTACTGGATGATGTTCTGTAAACTCTTGGTAATAATCCAGTAGAGAGGGAGAAATGGCAGGAGGAATAAGAGAAAATTGCAGAAATAGTGTCTGAGAGCAGCTGGATTGCAGAGCAGAAGCAGAGCATGGCCTTAGGTGGGTGTGGGTTTACTTCGTCCATCAAACATGCATAGATTTGTTGTTGGGAAGGAGCAGTTCCCATCTAATGGCTTGTTTTTTCAATAAATATTTAAATGGTGTCATTATTGGGAACTGAAGATGAGTAGTGACTAGAGATTTGCAGAGTGAGGAAAAAGTTCATGAATTAGAAAGAAGGCAGCATACAGATATCCCAGATGCAATACAAATGATTAAGGGAAACTGTTGATGAATATGAGAACATACTCTGGTAATAATTTCTATCCCCAGTTTGTGTCATCTATTCAACTTCAGCTCTAGTCTGTTGCCCTTATGCCATTTGAAAATATAGACTACCTACTCACTTTCCAAAGCTGAGCTTTCTCTATTTGCTACTCGGGACTGACAACCCAGATTATAACTACAGACTCAGAATGACTCTCCAACACCACTGACTATATCATCTTGACCCCTCATGTCCTGCTCTGTCTCTTGCACTCATACTCCAAGACTGGCACATTGAATTTCTCAAAGAACTTATTATTTCTTTCCTGTTATTTATCCAAACGACACCTAGAATTAAAGCTATTCTTAGGAATCAAGTCCACATCACCTGTACTTCTCACCTAGATGACCAATAACTAGCACAGAATTAAATGAAAACCTTTTCAAATCCAGTGATCCAGAAGACAAGTTTGAATGTCAGTGTGAGAATTCAGTATTAAGGTGGAGCCTGAAAATTCCTGTTGGATACAGACCTCTCCCTTGATTTCTAAAAGAGGGAATAGTAGGCTAAGTTGTGTGTATTATTTCTAAAAACCTAAATACTTCCAGTCACGTAACGACTGCATTTTCCATATTATTTTTTTCTTTTTCTCACCACTGTAGTTCTAGCTACAGCAACTTGGATTCATCCTGAGAACAGAATATCATTGGCAGAAGATGCCAGAAAAGCAAGGAACCAAACCATGAAATGCAGACAGAGAACTACCCATTATAATTTTGGAGGGCACCAAAAAGAAAGGCTCCTCATCTCTAAATGGAGCCCCACTTACTAGCACTAGAAACTCCTTAAACTGTGGGGAAATTTTCTCTCTTAGAAATAAAAGCAAAAGGACATTTTCATGAAAGATAAACCCGGAAAGTATGCCCTATCAGCAGCCATACTTCCTCAAAAGTATATAGGTGTATTGTAGTAGAGTTATTTGAGGGATCACATAAATAAATAAAATCACTTCTATTTTTACCTGGTGCTGAAATTTCATTACTCTCAATGTTTCATTTATTCAGACTGTGAGTCCAAATTTACAACAGAAACAGCTCTGAGAACATTACCGCTATAAGTTTTCAGTTATTATCACAATTAGGTGGAGTTAGCTGACTAGATAATTTCCAAAGAATAGCTGCCTAAGAGGAGCTTCTTTTAAGATGAGACATACAAAAGTACCTAGCATTATAACTGCTCCAAAGGATAAAAATGAATATGTGAATGAGTGAATAAGTGAATGAAGGAAACTTAGGGGAAGAATAGTCTAGGGTTTTACTACTCACAGGGAACAGATCTGATTAGGAACCAGTAAGGGATTTGGACAGTCGAGGCTTGCATGAAACCAGATGTATGAAGGGCACCGAAAAATTTTGCCAACTGGAAATGTTTGCCCCATTATAGTGTCTCATGCCCTGGTCTGAACCTCCACATACCTCGGAGCATATAATTACAGAGAATACCTATAACTAACGATGTAATTAGTTTCTGGACCCATACATTTGGAGTGCTTGGAGAGAGTTATTTTTGAGTCACAAAGTACCCAAAGTCTATCATTGATGTCCTATCCCTTCTCACCTCTTACAGACAGCTCTCAGCCTTCCCGAACTTCCAGGTTTCTGGTATAATGTGGCCTTTGAGCACCCCCAAAACAAGGAATAAATCTAGATATAAAAAATATCTTGTCCCAGTTGTCCCATATGTAAAATGAAAGCTAAAAATTATTACCTTGAAGAGTTGTGAGGACTTAAGAATCCTGAAATGTTGAAGACTCATTAGATTCTCTTTTCTTCACACCCAATGCAAGGGTTTAATTTTCCCAAAAGAAGGAAGAGAGGTGATTTTAAGGAGCAGACCAAACATTTCAGGTCTCAGAAATGAATGCCATGTCAGAGAGAGACGGGGAGGCAATGATATCCAGCCCAGGAGAACAGAGAGGAGATGAGAGCTATAAGAAAGGAAGTGCCTGATGAGGGGGTAACAAGAATCAGCAGTAATTGAAGCAGAAAGGATCCTATACAGGGAGCATAGAAGCAGATAAATTCATCAGAGAACAGATGAAAAATATTACCATGTGTCTGGGTTTTTCTGGTGCAGAATATGTCCCGTTTTTCTGAGTTGGTGGGCATGCCACTGAGCTCAGGAGAAATTCACAAGAGAGAAAATGTGCCACAACTGTCCAGTCATGTGAACTGGCATTGCTTTTTCTATTTAAAAACTTCCTGTGCATAAAAAGAAACATGTAAGCTCAGTCCTCAAAAGCCTCTGCAAATAAAGGCTTCAGAAAACTCTTCTAAATTTTGACAGCATCTTTACACTTATCCCTTAGTGATTCCATAAAATGACAAAGGAAAACTTGAAAACTTAAAATTCCTAACAATAAAGCAATTTCTTTCATATTTCCCCCAGCATAATTACACAATAATTTCTGCACATATCTCTCTGTATGAGTGTTAATATATTGCTCAGAGCACCATCCTGACAGAAGAGGCTCAGGTCTAGCCTTTTAGAAGGGATTGTGGGTTAAGGTGGCCAATGAGATGGCAAAGTATGACCTGACAGCCCAGGGGACATTGTGGGTCCATCCTGATTGCTGGAAAGCTCAGCTTGAAGCTTGCTTTAGACTCATTAGCTAAACATGGTTACTGAATGATCCCTCTGGGAATTCCTACTAAAGTGATTCACAGCTTTCCTTTTAGGTCATTTTTCTAATGTTGTCATGTATTTGATTATTACGTTTATTCAGATGTAATTATTATATATCACATCATCGTTACTACCACCACCACCACCACCACCACCACTACAACAACAAGTACTACTACTACTACTACTACTACTACTACTACTATATGGTCAATGATAATTTAAAGTTACCAACATATTTGACTTTTATTTGCTCAATTTTTTCTATGGCACAAAAACAGACACATAGGCCAATGGAATAGAATAGAAACCCCAGAACTAGACCCACAAACGTATGGCCAACTAATCTTTGAAAAGCAGGAAAGAACATTCAATGGAAAAAAGACAGTCTCTTTAACAAATGGTGCTGGGAGAGCTGGACAGCAACATGCAGAAGGTTGAAACTAGACCACTTTCTTACACCATTCACAAAAATAGACTCAAAATGGATAAAGGACCTGAATGTGAGACAGGAAACCATCAAAACCCTAGAGGAGAAAGCAGGAAAAGACCTCTCTGACCTCAGCCGTAGCAATTTCTTACTTGACACATCCCTAAAGGCAAGGGAATTAAAAGCAAAACTGAACTACTGGGACCTTATGAAGATAAAAAGCTTCTGCACAGCAAAGGAAACAACAAACAAAACTAAAAGGCAACCAACGGAATGGGAAAAGATATTTGCAAATGACATATCGGACAAAGGGCTAGTATCCAAAATCTATAAAGAGCTCACCAAACTCCACACCCGAAAAACAAATAACCCAGTGAAGAAATGGGCAGAAAACATGAATAGACACTTCTCTAAAGAAGACATCCAGATGGCCAACAGGCACATGAAAAGATGTTCAACGTCGCTCCTCATCAGGGAAATACAAATCAAAACCACACTCAGACATCACCTCACGCCAGTCAGAGTGGCCAAAATGAACAAATCAGGAGACTATAGTTGCTGGAAAGGGTGTGGAGAAACGGGAACCCTCTTGCACTGTTGGTGGGAATGCAAATTGGTACAGCCTCTCTGGAAAACAGTGTGGAGGTTCCTCAGAAAATTAAAAATAGACCTACCCTATGACCCAGCAATAGCACTGCTAGGAATTTACCCAAGGGATACAGGAGTACTGATGCATGGGGGCACTTGTACCCCAATGTTTATAGCAGCACTCTCAACAATAGCCAAATTATGGAAAGAGCCTAAATGTCCATCAACTGATGAATGGATAAAGAAATTGTGGTTTATATACACAATGGAGTACTACGTGGCAATGAGAAAGAATGAAATATGGCCCTTTGTAGCAACATGGACAGAACTGGAGAGTGTTATGCTAAGTGAAATAAGCCATACAGAGGAAGACAGATACCATATGTTTTCACTCTTATGTGGATCCTGAGAAACTTAACAGAAACCCATGGGGGAGGGGAAGGAAAAAAAAAAAAAGACGTTAGAGTGGGAGAGAGCCATAGCATAAGAGACTCTTAAAAACTGAGAACAAACTGAGGGTTGATGGGGGGTGGGAGGGAGGGGAGGGTGGGTGATGGGTATTGAGGAGGGCACCTTTTGGGATGAGCACTGGGTGTTATATGGAAACCAATTTGACAATAAACTTCATATATTGAAAAAAAATTTTTTTCTACTAAAATTGCAAAGTTTG